TGACGAGAAGCTCACAATTTTTTTTTAATGAATGTCAAGAGCTAGTTGACCGGAATCGAGATTTAGGTAATCTAGGTTTTGCATGACAGAAACCGTGGACTATGATCATTTGTGTTTAGTGAGAACTTTGTAGACTAGATCCAAATAGATGCTTTAAACTGGTTATGGTTTAGAAGGATGGTCACCGAGATATTTTTTAGTTACTGCGATTTTAAGATTCTTTCCAAGCTTGATCTATGTTTTGTTTGAGGACAAACAAACGTTTAAGTTTGGGAAGAGTTAATAACACCGGATTTGGCCACTTTTATTGATCTTTTTAATATCTTATGCAGGTGTTTTAACTTTTTTTCAATGTTTTTTAAGTGATTTCTATGTTTTAGAATTTTAAAAAACTTTTCAGGAAACTTGGACTAAATATATGCAATTTGGAACAAAAAAACAATTTTGAATAAATGCAGACCGTCAGAAGTATGGCAAGATATGAAGACCTTCTCATCGTCCGATCATTCCCGAAATTTGAGACACCATAGAGAAGACAACCAGCTTTTTAATTCAATTGGTTTGGAGACAATCAAACATAAAATGCACTAAAGACATAAAATGCAGTCTCGAAGGAGAGCATAAGTCGCGACTGCGGCCAGACAAGGTTTCCCCACGGTCAGGACCACCACGACCGCTGCTAGATATCATTAACGTCCCAAGATGACCTAATTCAAGCCCAAGTTTAGCCCACCATTTATTCTCCAAACCCTAGACGTTCCTGACGAATTAGAAGGTTTGATATACTCGTTTTAGGTCATTCTAATGACCGAGCCGTGGAAAGAGAGCAGAGAGGAGAGCCACACACCTTTGGAGTTGCCGTATTTAGGAGAAGAAGGTGTCGCCGAAGGAGCCATCATCGAACTCCACCTTCATCCATGTTCTTCGTTCTTTACCTTTCTCTTATTTAATTTCCAGAAAACTACAATACTATTATGATGTTCTTCTACACTATGATTGAGTAATTCATTTGTTGTGATTTAAGGGATTTTTATAGGGAATTCATGGATTGCTTTCTGTTTGTTAAATTATGGTTTATCTTTAAAGTTTTTCGTCCAAATTTGTGTTTCGTGTATGTGGCTTGGATCGACCATCTAGCTACTGCGATTAGGTTGATATACTCACCGAAAAAGTGTTATTGAAACGACTAATCTATTTAGATGAGCAAATTCTCTTAGACGGCATGAGTCGATCTAAGGCGTTTTGTGAAGTTATCCACTAATTTTTCTAGGCACTTAGATAACTGAATGGGGGTTTAGAAAATCTGAATGAATGGATTTGTGATTAATACTACGAGTAGGTTAGTCTTGGTTTGATTTCAAGAACATATCTATAGAAAGCTCTATGTTTAATTATCTTTTTAGCTAGTCTATATTTCCCGGCGAATTCTGTAACGCCTGACACCTTCTCGAATTGATTTGATCTCATTATTCACTTCTTTTAAAGTTTGATAATTGTTATTTTCGTCACTATTCACAACTCCCAAACAAACATCCATATTTTCATCTTAGCTCGATTCTCATCTCAAGTAAATTTGTGTTGCAGTTACTTGATCTTCAGTGGATCGACCCCTAAGTACTACAACGTATATCTGTGCGCTTGCAGAAAACTATGGTTAAAACCTGAGCACATCATTTGCTCAGCAGCAAACCAAGAAATATGGTTACAGAGGCTGGTGAATGAGATTGGTTTCAAGACAGAGAAAGGTGTAAGTATCTTCTGTGATAACAAATTAGCGATTGCAATTGGAAAGAATCCAGTTCAACATCGTCAGACTAAGCATATCTTATCAAATATCATTTTGTACGAAATAAAAAGAATGGGAAGATCAAACTTGAGTACTGTTCAAGAGAGCTACAAATAGCAGACATATTGATGAATTGAAGCCCTTAAACACAACAAGGTTCGAGGTTCTACGAGAAGAGTTAGGCATAACAATGAAGCCATAATCAAGGATGAGTGTTGGATGTGATCAAGTTTTTGTCGTCTCATTTTATTATTTTAGAAGAGTCATATATTATATAGTTAATGGCACTTATATTGGGGATCTCGCACAAGAGTCTCTTAACTATAAAAAAAAAAAATATTAATATTTTATCATAAAAATTTCCTTAAAAAGTTTTGCTAATGTTTTTGAGAAACTCTTGTAATTAAATAATATTATATAATTATGTTATTATTATTTTTATTGGTGATAAACTGTTATGAAAGACACACCAATCAGATGGTCTAAGAGCACCTCATCAGTTTAGAACCTCAAAATAGGATTTCTCAACAATATAAAATTAGGATTTTGTTATGATTCAATTATAGAATTAGATTTTAGTTTTTGGTAAAGAATTAAACCAGTAAAAAAGAGACAAATGTAGAAATAATTTCTCATGGGATTCTCAAATGAGAACTGATTCTGATTTTCTCTCTTATCTTTTATTTTATTTTATTATTATATAGTTTAGATACCCTCTGAACAATGGAGATGCTTGAAGTAACTGATTTATGTAAACTATTTTATATCACACACTGAAAGAGAAAGAAGAGAAAGAGATACAAATAAAATGGTTAACTGCAAAACAGTTACACTTGTGTGTCTCCACATTAGGTTGTCTTCTAGAGACGTGTCCTTTAATAATGTTGGGATCATGATATTTTATTAATTTATCGTGATATTAATTTATCTATAAATTAATAATTACTAATTTATAGAGAACATTTGTTTTCCGCATAAAATTTTCTAAAAAGTTCTTTGGAATAGTGTTATATTTCCAAATTTTAACAAATCTCATAATATATATTATGATTAACAATCATAACTATAGCAATAAAATAGTTTTTAACACCATATTGGATCGCCCATGTAAATATATATATATATATATGTTTTATAAATTTAAAATTTATAAATGCCCATGGCTACTATCACTATTATTGATGATAAAATTAAAGATAATAATACAACACATTTAAAAACATTTACATGTAAGAAAATCAATTATCACATAAAAAAATCATCATAAATTTTAAATGTATATAGTAAAACAGCAATAAAAGCTAATGATATAATAATTAGAGAGATGAGAACCAATAAAATCTTAATTTTAAATAAAAACAAAGACATTAGTTATATTTTAGAATATTATATTTACATATATTTACATAAATTTATATAATTATTAATTTATGTTTTTGTTGGGACCATATATTTACATAAGAGTTTCAAAAAAATTATTATCTTATTATCTTATCGAATTTGATGGATTTTTACATTGGCCCGAGGTGAAGTTCAACGTTGGTGGTCCAAGATATGTAATTAGCACCAGTGATGTCTAAAGCCGGGAATTGGAGCTTCTCAACGTTTGCCATTAGGTTTTTTAAAATAAAATAACAGAAATAATTATTAGAAAAATGATTTTTATTAAAATATGTGAGGTGGTGGAATACATAAGGAGATTACAAGGAATACAAATGCATAAAAGTCTAAAATACAAATCATCACATATTCTTCCGGAGAGAATTCTCCAAAAAGTAAACTATAAAAAACAACAAGTATATAACCTATTACAAAAACTAAAAAAGGATGAACCATTTTTTTTTCTTGGAAAGAAGTTCAAAGGGGAATGAAATATTTGAGTGAATTGAATGATAGATAAGTATATTTATAGATTGTATAATACTGTTCATTAGCTGTTATGTAGCTGTTTGAAAAAAATTTTTTTAAAAAAATTGTTTTTGTTAATGACCATTGGAAACAAAGAAAATAAGGTAAAATCAGACTAATAATTTAAAAAAATGAATAGAAAATAAATTACTAGTTTATATATATATATATATATATATAATTATACATTGGTGGTATAAATTTATTTATAATTATAGTAGAAATGTTAATTTAAAGATAAATATATGGTGACCATATTATCTATATTAAATCATCTATATTAAAACAGTAAATAAATAAATAATGGTGACTTAAGTCATCCATATGAACATGGTAAATAAATGTATGGTGACTGAGTCATCCATATTAAAAAAATAAATAAATAAATTATGGTGACTTAAATCATTCATATAAGCATAATAATTAAACAGTGCGAGTAAATAAATATATGGTGACAGAATCATCCATATAAAATAAAATAAATTATTTAAACGGTTGAATAATGATAAATTATTATGGTGCATTAAGCAACTATGATAAAAAAAATAGTAAATAATAATGGAGCGGCAGAGTCGCACTCTAATTATAATAATTAAATAATTAAAATTATAAAGTATAGATGTAGAGTGATTGTGCTGATAATGTTTTTTAATTATATCGTATATCGTATGTTATATCAGCATAAATACATGAATAATATTAATATGATTATTCTAATAGAACGTAATAATAAAAATGGAGATAGATGAGTACCAAAGAGGGAGAGAGAGATTTTGTATTTGATTTTTTCGTATTTCTTACAATGGACGAGTGCATGTTATATATAGAAGAAAATCAGACAAATATTACTGTAAGAGAAAAGTAAATGGACTCCATCATCAAATCCTTACGCAAAGTTTTGACTTTGCAACAAAGAGATATTTTTTCAAATAATATAAAATAACCAAATAACTGACAAATAGTATAAGCTTTGGAAAAATTGTAAATATTGTACAAACAATATGGAAGGTTTGTTTGGAAAAACAGGATGTGCACTATTTGTACTATTTTATCATTTTTTCAAACGCTATACTATTTTTAAAATTAGTTGGTAGCTTTTGTATTAGAGAAAATTGCTGGATAGGTAGTTTTTAAGTTTTTAATTTGAGAAATTGGTAGTTTTAAAATCACACAAAATATTGGGTAGTTTTTACTGTTTACTTTCCTTATTGGGCCATAATCCTTTAATTTATTTATCAATATACCATGATAATATGTTTATTATTGGACGCAAATAACAAAGGAGACTGGTTTAATAGAACTAAGGATGGCGATTAAGAATCTGCCGTTTATTCTTCAATCGTTCTTCATCAGAGCGGTTTTCTCAACTATCGATGCGGTAGTGGAACAGTTTTCCGACAGTTATCTCTCTGCGTCGTCCATCTCCATAGTGGGCTTAGTGGTTTGCTATGATGTTTACAGGGATAATAACTGTCGATTTCTGCATTTATATAATTCCTCGATTGTTTATTGTTTCACTACTCGCAAAATCCATAATTTCTCTCTATTGCATCAACTTCTATATTGCTTTCGTGATTTTGATTCTTCTATGGCGGATAACCTTCGCAGGGCAATTCAAGACATCAATTTGGGTTCTGAAGATGAACCTGTTTCACTTCCGGTTGAGGTCTGCAATGAAGCCGTGAGAGTCAACCAGTTCTCTCTGATGGGGCGTCCATTGATTCCTCGCAAACAGAACATCCGAGCGATCCTGACTGCTTTTCCCCGTATGTGGGGACTTCAAGGCATTATCTCCGGGAGATTGATTGAGAGGAGGCTCTATCAATTCGTTTTTCCTTCTGAAGAATTAATGATGTCAGTGTTGAATAGAGGGCCATGGGCATTTAACGATCGTATGACGGTTCTACAGCGGTGGACTCCAGCAATGGATGAATTCTCTCTCAATTTCATTCCTTTTTGGGTCCAGATCCGTGGGATTCCCTTGCAGTTTCTCACTCACAACATCATCAACCATATTGCTGGAATCATGGCACACGGTCAAGACAATGTGATGGCGGTTGATTTTGATCCGGAGGCTATGAATGCGGTTGAGTTTGTTAGGGTTAAGCTTCACTGGAATGTTGATTTCCCATTGCGATTTCAGAAGAACTTTCAGTTCTCTCCAGGCGTCAACACTCTTCTTCGGTTCAGATATGAAAGGTTACGTGGATTCTGTGAAGTTTGCGGTCAATTAACACATGACACTGGAGCCTGCGTTCATCATGTCCCACTTCAGCCTCAAGAAAATGAAGATGATGATGCTAATAATGAAGACAACTTTGAGAATGCAGATGAAAATGATGGAGACAACTTGGAGGATGCAGACGCTAATGATGATGATCAAGAGAATGCAGATGCTATGGAGGAAGAGGGCCCAATGGATCATGCTGTTCAAGAGGAAGTACCTGAAGACAATCAAAATGACGAAGAAGGTGCTGCCAATGATCCAACTGAGGAAGACAACAATGACAACGTGAACCTGCTTCCCTTTTCTGATGAGAACTTCCACGTGACAATGGAAGATTTCATTCGGGAAAGAACAGTGTTTGTAGGTCCTGCAGCAGAGCAGTGCAAACAAGCATTCATTGATAATCTTCTGAACGAATGTGCAACGGATCATACTCACCTGGTTGTTAATTCACCAGGAACTGTTACAGATGCTTCACCAACTGAAGGTTCCAGGAATCACACACCCCTCAACTTGTCTGCTGATTCCTTTTCCCAATATGGCTCTTTCTTGGGTGATCCAAGTCAATACTCTGGGATGTCATTACCTCAATCATCACCGGCTGTTCAAGGTAAAGATTCTGGCTCTATACTATGTAGACTGAATGTTGGTTGGTTGATATCTGGTTCTTCAGGTTCTAATGTAGATGGAAGCAAAAAGCGAATGCGTGACGAAGGGGAACCTACCGAACCTGTGATGGTAGACAAATTCATGAATGGTGCCGTGAAAGTATTCTGCGGCCCAGGTGCTCTCCAAAAGCTTCAATTGGACTACCAAGACTTGGGTGAAGCTGCCAATCACCCTTGTTCAGATTTTGGAGGCGCGGTGGGCCCTAAACCACCAGAAGCCCCATGAGAGTTGAGGTGTGGAACTGTCGAGGTTTAGGACAACGCCTCACAGTTCGACGTCTACAGGAGATGCAAAGGTTGTACTCTCCAGACTTGTTGTTCTTAGTGGAAACAAAACAGAAGGATAACTATGTTAGGGATATTGGTACTCTCTTAGGTTATGATGGAATGTGTATAGTTTCTCCTTTAGGTTTAAGTGGTGGTTTAGCAGTCTTCTGGAAGAATTTCATTTCTGTTCATTGTATTTCCTTTGATGCAAGACTAGTAGATCTATCTATTGAATACAAATCTTTCAATTTCTACTTGTCTTGTGTTTATGGAGATCCAATTCCAAAAAACAGAAATATTTTATGGGAAAGATTACAAAGAATCGCTACTCTTAGAAATGGTCCTTGGATGATGTGTGGAGACTTCAATGAGATTTTAGATGCTTCTGAGAAACGTGGTGGTAGGAGTCGCAATGCCGGAAGTTTTAAAGACTTTAAAACTATGCTAAGTGTCTGCGGTATGAAAGATCTCAAGTCTAAAGGGAATTCGTATAGCTGGGTTGGTCGTCGTAGATCTGAGATTATTGAATGTTGTTTGGATCGTGTTTTAGTTAATGATGAATGGCTCAATCTTTATCCAGCTTCAGAGACTGAATTTTTAGGATTGGCTGAATCAGATCACCGTCCTCTAATCATTACTATTCAACACGAACCTATGATAAAAAGAGGTTGTTTCAGATATGATAAACGTCTCTTCTACTCAGAGGATTTTGCAAACACCGTCAGAAATTCTTGGGGTTCAAAATCTACGGCATCAGTTTCAACAAAACTTACTCTTTGCCGTAAAGTTATGGCTCGGTGGAAGAAATACAATCGTACCAATTTTGCGGAGGTGATTGAATCACTTCGACATCGTATTGATTCTGCAATTAGAGATCATACAGTTCCGATTGAAGAAATACAAGGTCTCAAGAAAGAACTAAATCAAGCTTTTCATCAAGAGGAGGAATATTGGAGATTAAAGAGCAGGAATTCTTGGCTAACAAAAGGTGATAGAAATACTCGTTTCTATCATGGAGTCACTAAGGCAAGAAAAGCTAAAAACTGCATCAAGTGTATCAAAGATAAGAATGGCATTATCCACCAACGAGATGAAGCTATCGCTAATGTTGCAGAAGACTACTTTAAAGATATGTTCACTTCTACTGAGCCGGTATTCATTGATGAGATTTTTCATGGTCTCGAATGTAAAGTCACACAATCAATGAATGAAGCATTAACAAGACAAGTTACTGATACTGAAATAAAAGAAGCTCTGTTTCTGATCGGCCCAGATAAAGCTCCAGGTGTGGATGGATATACCGCTGCGTTTTACCAACAATTTTGGGAAGACATTAAACCAGATATATGTTCAATGGTTCGTAATTTTTTTGAGCATAACACTTTGGAACCAGGGGTAAATCATACCAATATCTGCTTACTACCAAAGACAACGGAATCGATGGAGATGATAGACTATCGACCAATTAGTTTATGCACAGTGAGCTATAAAATCATTTCCAAAATCATGGTTCTTCGGTTAAAACAATGTTTAGGAACTCTGATTTCCGATTCACAGGCGGCTTTTGTTCCAGGACGCAATATCTCAGATAACATCCTTGTAGCCCATGAATTGTTTCATGCTCTCAAGTCAAAGAAGGACTGCTCAGAATCTTATTTGGCGATCAAAACCGACATTAGTAAGGCTTATGACAGAGTTGAATGGGTTTTTTTAGAACGAACAATGCATCAAATGGGCTTCGACAATCAATGGATCCGGTGGGTTATGACATGTGTTACTACAGTTTCATATTCTGTTTTAATAAATGGAGTACCGTATGGCCATATAACACCAACAAGAGGGATTCGCCAAGGATGTTCATTATCACCATATCTCTTTTTACTCTGCGCAGAGGTTCTCAGCCAAATGATTTCAAGAGCAGAGCATTATAAGGATTTCCAAGGTATGAAACTTGCTAAACATTGCCCTACAATAACCCATTTATTATTTGCAGATGACTCCTTATTCTTTTGTCGTGCAAATTATGCTGATTGTGAGGAGTTGGCTCGGATTATACATGATTATGAACGCATATCGGGCCAAAAAGTCAACTACGCTAAGTCCTCAATTATCTTTGGATCTCGTATTAATGATACTCAAAAGGAAACAATCAAGCAGATAATGGGTATCGATCGCATAGGAGGAGATGGTAAATATTTAGGCTTACCGGAACAGATCGGGAGAAGTAAAATAGATACATTTGAGTTCTTAGTTACAAGGATCAAAGATGCTATTGGTAGCTGGTATAACCAATTTCTTTCTCCAGCAGGGAAGGAAATTTTGATCAAATCGGTGTTGCTTGCCAAACCAATCTACTCAATGAATTGTTTTCTTCTTCCGAAGACGATTTGTGAAGAGATCAACAGTATTCTTTCAGAATTTTGGTGGGGAACAGATGATGGGAAAAGGAAAATTTCATGGCTGTCATGGAAACGATTATCTCTTCCTAAATGTGAGGGAGGTATGGGATTTAGAGATCTCCAGCATTTTAATGAAGCACTCTTGGCAAAACAAGCATGGCGTTTATATATTAATCCGTCTTCTTTATTGGCTCGTCTATACAAAGGTCGTTATCATAACACGACGACATTCTTACAGTCGTTGTGTGGAGGACAACCTTCGTATGGTTGGAAATCAATTCAAGCAGGTAAAGAACTGCTTAAAAAGGGATTACAAACACAATTGGGAGATGGGTTATCAACAAGTGTTTTGTCCGATTATTGGCTTCCTACACAACCATTGCGTCTAGTAAGAGGTCTTATCAATGATTCAAGTTTGGTAGTGAAGGACTTATGGAAACCTGGAAAGAGAGAATGGGATGAAGTAAAATTACGTCAAGTGCTTGTTCCAGAGGATGCAACTTTAGCTAGTCGAATTATTCTTTCTGCTCATGCCCAATCTGACCGACTAATTTGGGCTTATAATAAAAATTCAGAATACTCAGTCAAGTCTGGATACTGGTTGGCGACTCACTTGGATGTAGAAGAACAGATTGAACCACCAGCTGGGGACTTGGAGCTGAAATCACAAATATGGAAGCTAGATATCATTCCCAAGATCAAGCAATTCTTTTGGCGTGTTATTTCGGGTGCTTTACCTACTGCAACACGGCTACGATCTCGACATGTTAATATCAGTCCGACTTGTCAAAGATGCTGTCTGGAAGATGAAAGTATTAATCATCTTCTGTTCCAATGTCTACATGCCAAGGCTACATGGCGATGTGTAGGTGTCCTAAATTTTGATCTTCATTCGCCATCATTAGAAGATAATATTCGTACTTTACTGGAGATCTATAATGGCTCTAACCATTCTGAAGAATTTAAATTACTTCCCTTCTGGACATGTTGGATCATTTGGAAGTCAAGGAATGAGTTTCTGTTTAAATTGCGAAATACTCACCCAAACGAAGATGCAAATCGAGTTAAAGATGCAGTTCACGAATGGATTGACGCAATGATAATTGTTGAAAACCGGAGCTATGCAAATGGTGGTACCATTAGAGCAATGAATCGTAGTAGCTACTGGGAACCACCGAGTCAGGGTTGGCTAAAATGTAATTTTGATAGTAGTTGGCGAAATGAAACTGAAACCACAGGTATCGGTTGGATTATACGTGACTACACTGGATCACACATATGTTCAGGACACAGTGTTGTACGAGATGTAACTTCCCCATTACAGGCTGAAGCAACGAGTTTCCTCCAAGCTCTCCAAATTATCTGGATTAAAGGACTGAGATTTGTGTGGTTTGAAGGTGATAATCTGGAATTAATCAACCTCATCAATAAGCAGGGTGATCACAATGAGATTGGAAATTTGCTCATCGATATAAGGTATTGGATGTCTAAGCTTCCGCAATGTTCGTTGGATCATACAAATCGAGAGAGAAATAGTGCTGCAGATAAATTAGCAAAGATGGCAAATTCGTCCTCTGTTTCTTTTATTTCATTTCATGTTCCTCCTATTTGGTTAATTTCTTATTTGTATCATCCTTATACGTTATAAGTTAATAAAATCAGCTGTTAAAAAAAAAATATGTTTATTATTTTTTTTTCTTTTTATCTTCTCTCTTCAATATGTTTCTCTTAATTTTTTAAAGTTCTTTAAACAGTTTTTCGTTTTTATTTTTACAAAAAAAAATATTTATTATCCAATAAAGATTTTTGAAAATAAATTTGCTAAAATTTAGGAAAACTGTATTTTGAAAACAATGACCATTTTTTCTAAACAAAAGCCAAAATCCATGTTTTTGTGGTTTTTCACCCAAAATTACCAATGACTTTTTAGAAAGTTTTCTTTTTTTATTATAAATATTGCTACTTTTAGATAATAAAAACACAAATGAAAAATATACAAAAAAATGAACCACTCCAAGTTATCAAAAGATGATAAAAAAAAAAGCATCCAAAACTTAACTTAAAAATTTACGAAAATAAAAATATTTCTAAAATTTAAAATTATCTGAAATGTTTTAAGACTAAAGTATTCATCAAGGTTTAGTATATTTT